GGGGGGGGGCGGCAGTCAAGAAGTATTATGGTATGCATTTTGACTTACATGATAATCTGACCCCGCCTGTAACCCTCCTCCTCCACTCCTCTGCTTATCTCCATGGCCACCATCAGCACAGGAGCACTATTATGGTCTGTAGTCTGCACCCCACCCCTCCACCTCCTCCCTTTATTTTTCCTTTTTTTGCCTGAGAAATGATATTATTATCATTATGTGATATGCAATTCTGTTGGTGGTGGGGGGGTAGGAGGGGCGTCTAGAGCCGTGCACGAGGTTTCTATGACAACTGCCCCCAGTATCCTTCTGATTGGTGATTATAAGATGATACCCCCCCCCCACCCCCTCCTCCCCAAATGCACACATGAACACTGTGTCCATAGTCAAGTAAAAGGAGAAGTGTGGGGGAGGGGGGAAAAGATGCCAACTGAGGGAGGGCGAAAGAGGAAGAAATGCAGAGAAAAGAAAGAAAGACAAGTTGTTTTTTAACTCGTTCTTTGTGTCGGCCCGTGTGAGAGGATGCAGAGGGAAAGGAGTGCTGCTGCTGCCGTGGGACAAAGGAAAGTCCAGAAGAGAAAGAGAGAGACAGTCCAAATGCGGGTGTGCTGAGTCAGAGACGACTTCAGGTCCGGCTGTAAGGAAAAAGGCCAGAGGGAGAGAGGCCTCTAGCTAAAGTCAAGAGAGAGCAGAGGGGGACAGCTTGAAAAGGGTTAAAAGCCAGAGTGTCGGGGCACTGCAACAATATGCTGACATGAATAATTTGTCATTGCATTAATGAATCCTCCATACATTAAAAGAATCTCATCATACGGATATTAATTTTGCACTTTAACAAGTTGAATGACACAATGGTGTCTGTGTGCAATGCAATATAATAATGTATCCTTTATACCACGGTGAAGTGGTCATGGCAGTACAAGAAACTGGTATTTGACTGAACAATAGGTCATTCATAATGACTGACTAATGCACACTCAACCTGGTAAATGACCAGCAGCTGTTGTCTTCGCTGGCTTGCAAGTGCAAAAATACATCACCTAGAAATTTGATTCATCAGTTGCATCCCTCATATTCAAACACATTGATATATGGTCAAAGATATGTGGAAATCCCTGCATCTTATCATTTCCCAGGCTGTTTTCTTGTCATGGTATGGGCTAAATAATGTCATTTAAATTACAACAAATATTTTATTTAATTTTAATAAAAAAGATTTTGCGCTTCAGCAGTTTAAAAAAAAGGTTGAATTTTCTCCAGTGGCCTATGCTTGTGTTCTGACCCGCAACTTCCTTCATTCATTTAACATAACAGAATGACATCCAATAGGATGCTCTACTTTAGCTGCATGACAATATAACGTCATCAAAAAACATACTGTGTTGAGCTATTAAATCCGTACAAGTACACATTCCTAGGATATTGCTTTGTAATGTGAAGTCATGTGATCAATTGCTTGTAAAATGTAATTTCTTACTTTTGTAAACCGCTGTGCTGTGAGTCTGCATGGGGCATGGATAAAAAAACAACTTAAGATGATTTTATTTTGTATTGCATTATATACTAACAGGAGTTTCTATTTTGTGTATTGATGTATTTCTGTTTTTGTGCTGTCTAATGTTCTTTTGCATAACTTTTGATTATATAATGCTTAAAATGTTCATCATGTTGAGTTGTAAATCACCATGTGCAGGTAAGATGTTAAACAGTGTTATGTTCAGTTTGACCTTATGAGAACATGCCCTTGGTTGAAATGTCAGTGCACAGGTGAGGCTCTTGCATGCTGCCTATTGTTTAAGCCTGGAACTTACAGGTGTTTTTATGTATTTTCTAATGTAATGTCGACATACTGTTGCCTATATACTCTACTGGGGCTGGCTAAACAACTGTTGATTTCAGGATTTTTTTTGCAACCTTGTGGGTGACTCGGACAGCATCAGAAGAGCAGATTTGTCCTGCAGTGGCACAATAACAATGCATAACTCACTCGGATGCTTCACAGAATCTAAATACAGGACTCCCCATTAACTGACATGTACAATGTTGATTTCCCATGAGGTAAAACGTCATTCAGAAGCCTTTCTGCCACACAACGGTTCTGTATTTTTGCTCCACAGGCTGAATGCACTAGTAAGTTAATGGTGGGAAAAAACTGTCTAGGACCCAGACGTTTTTCCCACCATTGACTGCAATGTATTTCCAAGCAGCATGTGGAGCAAGCCAGTGTGTGTGTATTAGAGTGTGTGTGTGTGCAGCCAGCTTAACTCAGCTGTTGGCTTGGCTCTTGTACTTCTGGGCTCCCTGTTTCTTGTTTTGAGGGGGGCTTAAAGCAGCAGACTTGAAGGTTTTGGCTACAGTTTGACCTCTGTGACCTCTTCCCTATGTGCATCTCACATAACCTGACTTTATAACTTCACATACTCACAAAACTGGTTTCCCCCTTAAACAGCCTTACCTGGTTGGCCTTCATGAGTGCTGATGAAAATATTGACTTTAAGGTGAGTCATGCATAGGAAGAAACCTTATCAGCTCATAATAACTAAAATGGATGAGATGGGGGTTACACCTGGGTCCCTCAGTGTCTCCAAACTTTTGGTGTACCTATTATGCTTTTTAAAGGTGGCATCAGCCTTTGCATTATATCTACATCTCATGCAGCCGGGCTCATATACAGTACAGTGCATGCGCATACATGCAAACATGCACACTCAAGTTAAGCAGTCATGTGGCACACACAGTTGCCATGTGACGGCTTTTCCTTTTTTTTCTTTCTCCCCTCCTTTCTCCTATCTCTCTCTTTTTTTGGAGTTATGCTTATTGAGGGATGTCAGTGACTGCGCTCATTACTATTATGGGATGCCACACGGGTGTGGGAGGGGGGGGGTGAGCGTCTCCATGGTAACCCTGGTTGCCAAGGGAGGGGGTGGAGGTGTGGGGGGGGTGCATGGAGGAATGGGGAAGAGACTGTAGGAGAGGGAGGGGGTGAGTTGACTATTATGGTCTGTACGTTGCAAGGTAACTATGCAGAGTGGGGGAGGGGTGAATGAAGTGCGTGTATGTGTGTGCGGAAGGGGGGGGAATATTATGGGATGCCTGCCCCCTGATCTCTTTGTGTGTGTGTGCGCGCGCGCGGGGTGTGTAGTGTGCGAGGGAGAGAAAGAGGAGACGGCGTCGTGCGCACACGCTGCCTACAAAAAACACGGAAATATATTTAAATTGTATGTATAACCTTACCGTTACCATAACATAAAAAGCTTCCAAGTATTGATTGATAGACAAAGTGAGCCTGGAGTTACTGTTTTTGGAAGCTGTGTGAATCAAGTTGTGAGTATCTCAGTTTTTGGTTTTATTGTTTGAAAATGTTACTTGAGAAAGGATAGGATGGTGTGTGTGAGATAACCGCGTTCCCCGGTAGTTGCTAAACCGATATATTTTTTAATGAGATGTAAAAGAGTGTGAGTGCTTGGGTTTCTTTTAGTTTGTCTCAAATCTGAAGCTGGCCGCCGGTCAAGCTCGGCTAGCATGCATGCTAATGGCACGGAAACTATAACGATTGTGGCAAGATGGCATGTCAGCAGAGATGGAGTGAGTGAGGGTGATCATCTTTGTGAGCTGTCCCACTTGGTAGCTTGATAAACTTGCATGTATTGTCTGGAAAAGTCCATGCAGTGAGCGTCTGTGTTGCTTTTATCCGGTGCTGTGTATTGAATGCTTTTTTGGTACCAATTATTCACTTCCGTTTTCTCTTTTTGTTCTTATTTCCCTTGTCGAATCCTGGCCGACTGCCCTCAACTCACTAATACAACACAACCTGGGACATAGTCAAAACTGGGTCAGAACTCTGGATTATCCTACCATTAAAAAACTTTATTTAGTTAGCTAAACTCTTAGCTAACTAAATATAAAGTTTTCTGCTGTCCGCTATGTCTGGAAGCGAGGATGACAGAGATGATTATGGAGCCCCCGAGGACCGGTTAATGCACGGTAAGACAAGCTCATTTGTTAGCTTAAATTGCTAATGTTCACATTGGTTGTATGTTAGCACGAGCAGATTTCCTTGCATTCATATCAATCATGTATCGTTAGCTCTGCTAGTCAATGCTGCTAACTACCGGGTAGCTAATGTTAGCGGCAACCTCAGCAAACACACTTTTCCCGCGGCTATTCAGCTGTTTAGCTTTAAAACCTCAACAAAAATACCTGTTACCCCAATACCATCCATATGCAATGTTTCTGAAAGCTGCAGTATCGTCAAGTCACACCGACTCACCGGCATGTTCCCGGGGCCTAGCGTTAGCCTGCTACCGGTGTTATTTACGTGTCGATGACAAGATGGAGGCAGCAGCCAGTTAGCGCTGAAGATGCGGATGACGTTCTGCTGCGTTCCCCTCCTCATGGCCGGCACCCTCTGTTTTGAGTGTGTGTGGAAAAAGTACAAATAATACATTATAGTAAAACATACTATTAATCGTTTCTGGCTGTTATATCTTCTAAAAAGCTAGTAAACTGATGTGGTGTAAGATCGCATTGTTCACAGTTTGTATAATACCGACGAGCACGCGCGGCGTACACGGTGGAAGCGTTGAGAACAAGTAGTCCCGCACGTTAGCTTTAATAGCTACAATCTACTCAAACATTTTAAACGCTTGTCACAGACAACAAACCTTTATTAAATATGTCAAGCGATGCTGCATAAACAAAACAGTGTGCAAAAAGAGACAGGAGCCTCAACAAGGATGTGCTAAATCGTTTACATTTTTGGATATCAATGCAGGTTATTGTTCCTCTGAACAGTCAATTTGATTGATGGGTTCATTTATATCAGATTCAGAATACTTTATTGTTCATAAAATGGAAATGTGTATATGGCACTGGCAATTAAAACAACACTCTCCGTACACAGCACAGCACAGCATACCAGTATCATACAAGATACAATATACTGAAACAAACATCCAAATAATAGCATGTTAAACTGTAAGCCTTCATTTCCATCATGGTCCCAAAATGTTAGAAGATAAAGATTTGTATTTACACTATACATTTGAGCTCTGCAAATGAACCGCCTTTGTCAAATTAAGTAGTTGATAAAAAGAAAAGAAGCAATATTTTCCTTCTGAATTGCAGAATTATAACGGTAAACTACAAGTACTTCTTTGTTGTCTAATATCAGAGTTGAGTAAATGTACTTTGTTACATTCAACGACTAAAATGCTTATTGTCTTAGGCAGAAGTTTGGCTTGAAACAAATCCTAGTCACAGGCAAAGCTGTCACTATCTTTGATTTATAATTAATAATGTGGTCTCGATATTGACAGATAAATAATGTCCATCACAGTCCAATTTAATTATTGTATTGATATTTAATGTGTCAAAACGTAATATCCTGATGATTTGAATTACGGAAACAAGTTATCATGAGCAAATAGAAAATAATTTATAAGTCCATTTTAAGCTATAAATATGTTTTTTGTGTACGTTTCGAGTCCAGGTCTTTAGTCTATAGCTCAGGGCCTCTTTTCCGGTTCTTAAACCCACTGTAAGTCTGTTGATTAAGATCATTTTAGTGATGGGGCGTTTACACTTTTTATCTATTTAGTTTTCGTTTCACATTGCAATTATGCAAGAAAACTAAAGTGCTCTACGTGACGTATCTATTTCCTGTCATCACCACCTATGTGAGCTGAATGTCCCTAAACTTGCAATTCAGTGGTTTGTAGATGGGCTTTCCCGTCCTCTTGTATGTACACGTAAAAACACGGTTACTTTACCTTCTTTGTTTAGGAGATGAAATGCTCTTCTACTCAATCTATACACACTGAGCTGCTCCACAAAGGGGCTTCTATACTCTTAAAACATGATGACAGCCAGCAATAACGTCTGTATCTGGCTTTGAATTTCGAATGTTGGTCCGGATCAAACTGAAACCTGAAAGTCCGGATCAAACAATGTAGGTGTGAAAGGGCCCTTAAGATTTTTTACAAAAAGTGGGCACTGGTTTTCATACAAACACTGACTTCTCATAATATCAAGTAGGAAATAAAAATGTTTTCTCTGCTGGGATTTTCAGTTGTTCACCCACATGCTCAAATACAGCTTGTTCTCCTTTATATGACCCGAAATGCTCATCACATTTAAGCATCCTCCTCACCAGGTGCATCTTAATGCCTGCTTGCCATTTACTTTTTTACTGTAGTTGATTACATTAATGGGGCCTAAGTGCGCTTCTTTTTGGAGCCACTGCGGCCTTGCTGAACACTGGACTTGTATCCCACTGTCATAAGGCCCTGCAGGAGGGTGTGGTAAATTATGACTCATCAGTTGTAAATTACAGTTTTAACCACTAGAGCAAAACTGATTTGAATCTCCTCCCTTAGGGCAACTTATAAAATGGAGTACTAACCCAAACCACTAGCTTTCCTCTACTAGTCTTGGTCCCTGGATCTCATGCCAGTTTTCATTCTAGCCATGTAATCATGGAGCACTTAAGTGTCATTTGACACCAAGTGAATGTGGTTGCAGTCTGGTAGGGGTGGAAATGGGGCTAAATTATGGTTTAAAACCAGACTTTGTTCCCTGTCTTGTGTTGAAAACCAGCTAGTTGGCCACTGCAAAAGTGAAAATGTGGCATCCTGTTAGTAGTGATAATTCAAACATGAATAGGCACCATTAATCAATCTGTTTCATATTTAGTGATGAAAGTTAATCTTAGGTGAAAAATCCTCAGGTTTGAGCTATGATGGAAACAATACTACTAAAGCTGCATGTCATGATGTTGAATATTGCAACAAAGATATTGCTTGTCATTAATAATCAGTAATTCAATTGTTCTCAGCCTGAGAACTTAAACTAAACAGAAAAGACACACATTTAAAAGTAAAGTATACTTACTTTTTTTTTTAAATATGAGTACCACTGACAAAGCTGGTCAATGACAGGAAGTTGTTTACCTGCTGATAACTTGACAAACTGACTCTTCTTTTTTAACGGCAGGATATGCAGCTTTATTTTCTGTAATTTTATCACACGGCCCAAATACAGTACAACACGACTCTGCTGTTTATCTAAGACCATCAAATATCTTGTGTGATTTGCAGACGATGAGGATGAGGAGATCTCGGAGAATGAGACTCCGAAGGTGAAGAAGAAGAAGAAGGCAAAGAAGAGCAAAGAGAGCAAGGGCAGCAAGAGGCGCTCACGCAGAGAGGTAAGCGTGGACATCACTGTGTGGGGTAAATTACTGTAGCTACAAGTATGAAATATTAGAAAGAATATTACAACTTTTTAATCCTATATCCAAGGTAATGTCTTCAACATAAACTAGGAATAAACAACTCATACCAAAACACCATAACACCTGAATTTAAGCTTCACACACAATTGAAAGCAGAAATGTCTGCGGACGTTGATATAGGCAAAACAACACATTCAAATTTGCTCAAAGTAGTTATGATTGTAAAATACTTGATGCTGCTAAAGCTCTCGTATGGCACATTTTAATTTCATTTTATTGGACATCTCAAAACGTTCTAGGCCACTCTTTATTTGCATTTCCCCCCTCCATTCTTCAAAAATGAACTATAAAAATAATAGTTGTCCTACTTTTTAAAAACGTTATCTATAGCACAACTCCGTAACGTGTTTTTTTTTTACTTGTATGAATTGAGAAAATAAATAAACTAAAAAGAATAGTAGTTGTAAAATATTTGTATGTAATGAACAAACCGAAAGACATTTGCTTTTCTCTACATTTAGACTTTCAACGTATTATAACCTATATTTTGTCCCGTTCCCATTGTTCTTAAACCTTTTGTTCTGTCTTTGCTAACTTTTGTCTTTGCTCTCATTTTCCCAGGAGGTCCCGATCAGCTCCCCGGAGGCCATGGACGTGGGCCCAGTGGAGGAGGTTGAGGAAGGCAGCGCCATCCTGCGCTCTGACAGCGAAGGCAGTGACTACACTCCAGGACGCAAAAAGAAAAAGAGAGCCAGCAGCGGCAAAGAAAAGAAGAGGAGCAGTTCGGGGGCAGAGAGGAGCAGCTCCAAGAAGAAAGACCCGGAGCCCGAGGAAGAAGATGATGACGACGACGACGATGATGATGACGACAGCTCGGTGAGGAAAAGTGGTCTTTGAGGGGGATTAGTAGTGTTAAAGTGAAGTCTCTAACACACACATCTGCACTGATGATGGCGTACATCTTAGTGAAGGATTTTAAAAAGCCCCTGAAACCACGTTTACGCCATAACCACACAGTCTTCACTGACCCCAAAAAAACTCAAGAACTCTGAGTTATAGTAATTTTTGCACAATAGAATCCAATTAAATTGCCAGTAATGCCTGCCATGTCTAAAATTGTTGACCAAACCTCATCATGTCACGTGGCTGAACAAAAGAGGGTTGTACAGTATAAGAAGTGTGGTGGAACACGTTTTGGGCAAACCATTTAAGTGGGGTAAAGGTGACGACCCCCTACATACCTGTAGTAGTATTATATCAAAAATGTATGTCACACCACAATTCTCCTTGACCTGATAAAAAAGTGCATATAAAATGTCTTAAAACATCAGCATCATTTACGAAATGATTTTCAGCGATGTAAATGATATGCGACTTGATGTCAATTGGCTAAAACATGCAAAACCGCTGGCGTGGTAGTTCTATTGTGTGCTGTGTGACAACCAAACAATGCTCACATAGAAACGACAGGAAATGGTGCTACATGGACCATTTTTCAGTTTAATGGTTTACTCCAATTTCTAACAACCAAATGTCTTTATTAGTAAGATTACTTCTGTAACAGCCCTTTGTTGGCTCCATGATGATGGCCTATTGACTGGGTACCTGTAATGTTGCGGTTTGACAAACACAGATAATACGATACGAGAGACGGTTAAACAAAGAGCTGTGTCTGGTGGACTCGGAGCCCAGCGGCCAATAGGAGGCCTTGTCGTTAATGACACTTATGCAAGGGGTGGTGTGGGGTGTGTGCGTCTGGGGTGGGCGTTTTAAGGCATATATGCTGTTACCACGGCAACCTCGCCTAGCACCACAATGCACTGCGCTCTTGACCCTTTTTTTGGTTAGATAAACACGTTTTGATTCATTGTTAAAGCCGCCCTCAATCTATTCTGCAGCCAGTTCTGGAAGGCAGCGTAAATGCGAATGATTAGAAGAGGCGCAGTTATCTGCAAGAAATCGGTTGACTTGCCCACAATGCTTAAAAGTACTAGGAAATGAAAAGAAACTCTTCTAGATAACCCAAATCTTTAGCCATGTACTTGTGTCTTTTGTGACAGATAAAAGTGAATATGATATATAAAAAAAATGCTGGACTGCAAAACAGAAAATATTTAATCCTGACCTTTGTCACTAGATTAGAAACTATATCACCAAGCAGTTTGATGTCATTATCTTTAAAAGAAGTGGGTCAGATGGATCAAATGGACTTATTACATTTGATTTTTTGTTGCATTTGTTGGTTAGCTCGTATCTGATTCTAAACCCTATTCAGTAGCCACTTAAATCCATGCAAATGTGGTCCAGTAGAGTCTGATAGAGCCATTAAAGCATCATTATTACAGCTCTGATAGTTATTATTTCTGATGCATAAGGACGGTACGCAGCACTGCTTTTTAAAACCTATACTTGGAAGCTGTTATGCTCGAGATCTACGCTGAAAAGCAGCAGCAGCTGGTCCCTCTTCCTGGTCACTCAGTCAGAGCAGGATCAGTCACCGCTTAGCTCATCCAGCAAGAGCTTCTGACATGAGATGTTTGAATAATACTGGTCAGAAACACACCTGGCACCATGTATTCTCTAATGCACATATTGAAAACAACAGTGTCCCACATGTTATGGCTCGTCTGCTAGACCAGGTTCTCCTCCACACTGGTCATCGAATCAATTGATTAGATTAGTATCGATTGCGCCTCACTTACTGATTTAAAGTGGTAGTGAGAAACCAGCGTTGCACAGACTAGGGCTATTATTAGAGTCTCTAATTGTGGATTTCTTTCCGTTTTTTTACACTTCTACCTATTATGTTTTTTTTTTTACAACAGCAAGACTTGGCTTTTTGATTCAGTTCAATCGTTTTCAGTGATTTACCTGCATATGATCATTATGTTACCTGCTGGTTTGTTGGGCAACAGCAAGTTTTGAAACGTACAATGTCAATTTAAAAGCCTTTAGTCCTAGTAGTACAATCTTAAATTGTACAACATCATACAAACGTAGCTAATTGTTGGTGTTTGTTTCCTGTAGGAGCCAAAGACGTCATCCCAGCTCCTTGATGACTGGGGCATGGAGGACATCGACCACATCTTCACTGAGGAAGATTACCGCTCTCTGACCAACTACAAGGCCTTCAGCCAATTTGTCAGGTAGATACTCTCATACACTTTATTCCAGTCTTCTTATTTATTTCTGCTCTTCAACCAGTTTTGGGATTATTGTGGTGCTGAATTGGCCAAGTACTCATGTCGATTCGTGTTTGTTTACATTTTCAATGTGTGTTTCCCTCACCTCCAGGCCCCTCATCGCAGCCAAGAACCCTAAGATCGCCGTGTCCAAGATGATGATGGTTCTTGGGGCCAAGTGGCGTGAGTTCAGCACCAACAACCCCCTGAGAGGAGCCGCCGCTGCCAACGCAGCCCTGGCCACCGCCAACGTGCCGGCTGCGGTCGAGACCATGGTGGCGGAGGCCGCCCCGGTCGTTGTAGCACCACCCCCTCCAGTAGAGCCTCAGCAGCCCCCCCCACCGCCTCTACGCAAGGCCAAGACAAAGGAAGGCAAAGGTACAGTGGGGACGAGGAGGGGTCAAATGATATAACAGAGCTGTGTTTTCGGAACAGTTGGTGGATTTTAGTCGGACCTTTACGTTATCCTCGACTGTGTGTGTGTGTGTGTGACTGACCTCTGCCTTTCTGTTTCGTGTCGACAGGCCCTAACTGCCGCAAAAAGTCAAAACCAACACCTAAAGCAGCAGACAAGAAAAATAGTGCCAAGACCAAGAAAGTGGCTCCTCTCAAAATCAAACTGGGAGGCTTCAACAGCAAGCGGAAACGCTCATCGGTACGTTCCACCTCCACTTTGCTTTGTCTGTTGCTTCCTAACCAAACAGTTTTGCGGTTAATGCAGTGAACTGTTTTCTAAACAAGAGCTTTTACTCCCATGTTTCAGAGCGAGGAGGATGAGCCTGAAGTAGACAGCGATTTCGAGGACGGCAGCACGAACAGTGTCTCTGTCTCGGAGGGATCCAACAGCCGCAGCAGCCGCAGCAAAAAGAAGCCTTCCAAGAGCAAACCCAAGAAAAAGAAAGGTACGTGTGCATGCTCTGGGTATGAGACGAGGAGGATGTGGACTCTGATTTGAAATGTAGTCTTCTTTATTGTTTTTTTCTGGATCATCCTCTGGTACCGTTTCATTGAATATGCAGTGTTGTATAACCTGTGGGAGTTGAACTCGTTACCCTGGCGGTTTCATGCGTTACCTGGTGAGTCAGCGTCAGAGCTCTACCTGTTGCAGCTTCAGAAAGAGCCTACAGATTACAGGTTAACACGTAGTGGTGGATAGTAATGACTGCGTTCAAGTTAAACCATTAAAGGCCTGTGGGATGCGCAACAACTGGAGGAAGTGACCCCCCCCCCCCCCCACACACACACACACGCACGCACGCATGCACGCACACACATTAGTCACTGTGAATGAGTCAGCTGAGTGATAAGTATATTTAGAAGGACGACATCTTGTTCTGGGTTGCTGCTTACTGACGCATCCTCTATAGCAGCTAAGACAACGTCACATGAATTGATATAGAAATTAAAGAGGTCATCAAGTCCCCACGAGATGCCGCTGCTTCTGTGTGAAAATCCTTTTAACGGTAGCTGTGGTGTTTTGTTGAGTCTCTGCGGACTTTTTTCTTTGACAAGTGTTTGGCAAATGAATCTTTTAAAATTGCCCATCGCTTCTGATAAAGTTATATTTATTGAGTTCTATCCGCCCAGATAGATTTCATCGTAAAACCATTGAATTTCAGTCAAATGTGTCTTGAAAGGGGAAAAAATGAATCGCCTTGTGGGTTCTCTCTCACAAACAACATCAACGACACACAACAGATCCTGGATCAGAGCAGATATCACATTCTGTGCCTCGAGGCCAAACGTTTAGAGGTGTTTTGGTTTAAAACGTTTTCTCCGTTGGTTTCAGAAGCAGAGGAAGGGGACGGCTATGAGACGGATCACCAAGACTACTGTGAGGTTTGCCAGCAGGGCGGAGAGATCATCCTGTGTGACACCTGCCCCCGAGCGTACCACATGGTCTGCCTGGACCCCGACATGGAGAAAGCCCCCGAGGGCACGTGGAGCTGCCCACACTGTGTAAGCAACATACTTGGACTCTTAGGTTTTAACCACATTACTGATGCTTTTAATCCAAATGTCTTCGGAACACCTCAAAATGTTGGCTGTCTGCACCCAGATTTCAAGCTGGATTATTATGGCGCCTCATTTAGAAACGTTTTTCCAACCGTGATCTACGAAAAGCAGCCTAAACTTCGTCTAATTGAGTGGCCAATTGAAAACCTCTGCATTGCGACCAGAATGCATTGCACCACTGCTTACATAGGCACACATCGAGAAGCGTTGAAATGACCGATCCTGGAACACCTTTTTTGTCTTCAGTTGAACTCAATTTATTTATACACCTGCATTTCCCTTTCATTCCAGGAGAAGGAGGGCATCCAGTGGGAGGCCAGAGAAGAGGTTTCCGAAGTCGAGGAGGACATCGCCGAGCCCGAGATGGAGGAGGACGACCACCACATGGAGTTCTGCAGGGTGTGTAAAGACGGTGGAGAGCTGCTCTGCTGCGACTCGTGCCCCTCGTCATACCACATCCACTGCCTCAACCCGCCACTCCCGGAGATCCCCAACGGAGAGTGGATCTGCCCCCGATGCACGGTGAGTCGCCATCAGCCAATCAGGGGTCAAAGAAGATGATTGATATAGCGTTTGATCTACTGGGGCTATGGTTCAACTGAGATTGAAAAGAGATGACACTATAATATATTTCTTTCTCTTTTGTCCCTTCCAGTGTCCGGCCATCAAGGGGAAGGTTCAGAAGATCCTGACATGGCGGTGGGGCGAACCTCCTCCTCCAACACCAGTCCCTCGACCCCATGACCTCGCGCCAGATGCCCCCGATCCCTCGCCACTGGCAGGGCGGCCTGATAGGGAGTTCTTCGCCAAGTGGTCCAACTTGTCGTACTGGCACTGCTCCTGGGTCACAGAGCTCCAGGTGTGTGGAATACACAAACACCTTAAACAGAGGGAAATAGTCATATCGATAGGTCTTGAACTTGAGTTTCTGTAAGCTCTGCTGGTTCTCATTATAGATTTCTCAGTGTCTAAAAGTACCCTCTATCTGTGTCTCAAACTATGTTGTGTTGGATCATTAAATGAAAAGGAAATGGGCCTGGAAAACCCTTGAAAAGTCCTTGAACAAGCTGTTTATAAAGTGTGGATACCCTGGTATTATCCATGTTTCGTATGCATGATATTCTTCACTTACCTGTTTCCCTTTATTTCCCCTCTAGCTTGAGATTTACTGTCAGGTGATGTTCAGAAACTACCAGCGGAAGAATGACATGGATGATCCGCCGCCCATCGACTTTGGGGAAGGCGAGGAGGCCGCCGAAACAAGTGTTAAGAGGAAGAGCAAGAACCCCATGTACGCAGAGCTGGAGGAGAAATACCTCCGCTTTGGAATCAAGATGGAGTGGCTGATGATCCACCGCATCATCAACCACAGGTAAACACATCGTTACAGACGAGGAGAGTTTTTGTTCAATTTAGAGTTGACTAATAATACAGTAAGAATCAAACAGCTTTAGGATTTCTATCAGCCAAAAAATAAGGAGTTGTTATCTATAATTAATTGTCACAGTAACTTATTTTTTACATATACACATGTTCGTGTTCGGAGAATGCAAGACTTAATCACATTTCTCTGTGCCTCTTTCATTTCATTCATTTGAGATACAATTTACAACAGCCTTTACCACAAGTGACCAGTTTTCCATGATGCCCATCTTTGATCAGCGACATAAACAAGTTTTTACCACAGCTGTCAACATTTTGTTTCACTCAACAAGCCATTGCTTTATGAGTTATTATATCCCGACTTTCAATGTGTATTTTAGATATTGCCGTCGTGAATCATCAGCCAAACCTGGAACAAAACTTGAATTGGAATGTTTTGTTTTTGTTTCCCCAGTTTGGACAGGAAGAATAACGTCCACTACCTGATCAAGTGGAGAGAGCTGGCGTACGACCAGGCCACCTGGGAGGCCGACGACATGGACGTCCCAGAGTTTGACATCTTCAAGGTGCGGTACTGGAACCACAGGTGAGACACAGACGCAGATCATCACCTTTTTAAACTGGAGCGCTAAACATGATGACACCAAACCCACACCGCGCTTTACCAACTCATGTTTGTTCCAGAGAGATGGTGATGGGAGATGAGGGGAAACCCGGGAAGAAGATCAAGGTGAAAGGAAGAGTGAAGCGGCCCGACAAACCTCCAGAGAACCCTGTTGTGGATGTAAGTGATTTGAACTGTCTTTTTATTAGGACTCGCATACAGTAGGTGCTAGAATATAATTCTACATATGAACTGTTTGTAAATTAGTCTCGTTTGACAAATACATTTCATTCAAAAATAAAAAATGGTCTAAAACCGTGCCTAATTGTTATTCCATAAAATCAATATTACCATTTTTAATGATCAAGTTATTGCCAATATTTGTGCATTGCGATAATGTAAATCAAATGTAGCTTATAGAAAAGTTGTTTTTTAAAGCTCTGCTTCCTTGTGGCTGATCTTTGGTTGCTAATCCGTCCTATCTCTTCTCTCTGTTCCCAGCCGACCATTAAGTTTGACCGACAGCCTGATTACCTGGACGTCACGGGGGGGAAGCTGCACCCCTACCAGCTGGAGGGTCTCAACTGGCTGCGCTTCTCGTGGGCTCAGGGCACCGACACCATCCTGGCCGACGAGATGGGGTTGGGAAAGACGGTGCAGACCGCTGTCTTCCTCTCCTCGCTATACAAAGAGGTGGGTGGCAGTGAGATACTGGTGAAATGCTTTGGAGATAATTCTTATCAACCGCTGTGTTGGAAACATGGGCTCAGCACGTTCATTTAAATGTAGCTTTGACTCTAACGGTTGTGCTCTTCATTATCTTCATGATATCCGTTTCATATTTAGTTTAAAATAATACATTTTGGCTTTTTATTACATTTTTGGCTTCCGAGTCTTGTCTGAGCCTCCCTGTGTAGAGCTGTCAATAGGTAGCTGTCCTCCTATTGGCCAGGAGCCATCCAGCCATTTTGACTAAGTCAGGTGAAATCTGACGACATTAAGTTTGATGTCAAACGGAAAACAGTCACTGACACTGATCATGTTTGCGGCTGCTGCCATCTAAAGGGTGGAGGCCAGAAGACATTTCCTGTCCGAGCCGCAAGATATTTTGGACGGTTTCTAATTTCATTTGATGATTTCATTTGAAACCACAGATATTTGTATGATGTAATCTGTCTGTTTGGTTCTATAAACCTGTGATTTTTAGCAAAGTGTACTTTTTTTAATTTGATTTCATTCATAACTTTCTGCTCTCTTAATTAAAGTTTTTGGTTTGAAACACAGAGTTAGTCTCTATCATTTTGAAATGATGGAGTGGACTTGACCTCCTCTCTTCTCCTGCAGGGCCACTCTAAGGGGCCGTTCCTGGTCGGCGCCCCACTATCCACCATCATCAACTGGGAGAGAGAGTTTGAAATGTGGGCCCCCGACATGTACGTGGTTACGTACGTCGGTGACAAAGATAGCCGAGCCGTCATCAGAGAGAACGAGTTCTCCTTCGAGGACAACGCCATTCGAGGAGGAAAGAAAGCCTCCAGGATGAGGGTAAGAGACTCGGATATAGGAACTCTTTTCAAAGAAATGCATTTAATTCACATAAATATCTGCTTTAACATGTTTTTGTGTTAATTACCTCCTAAAGAAAGACTCGTCGGTCAAGTTCCACATCCTCCTGACCTCCTACGAGCTGATCACCATCGACATGGCCATCCTGGGCTCCATCGACTGGGCCTGCCTGGTGGTGGACGAGGCCCACAGACTGAAAAACAACCAGTCCAAGGTACGGACACACCAGATCACTTAGTAGAATGTTAGGACACATATTTGACAAAGCAGTCTCTAAATGACACAATAGAGAGTTCAGGCGCTGCAAGATACAAAGTTATAAATGGTTGCATTTTTACCTTTCCATTAAACATAGTTTCTTTTTTACAGTCATTTACATTCTTCTGCATAAACAAAGATCCTTTAATTATAATCAAGTAAAAGCTGAACCTATAACCTGCCAGAAATGTGAAAGTTGTGCAATTTCTTTCTTGTGACTCGCTGGATTAAAACAGTTATCAAATCTGGAGGCCTATGCAGACGGCTGCTGTTGAACTGAAGCTGATAACGGTTGCTTACATGTTGTTCTTTTATTTCTCCTGGTGTAGTTTTTCCGGGTGTTGAACAACTACCCTCTGCAGCACAAGCTGCTGCTGACTGGAACGCCTCTGCAGAACAACCTGGAGGAGCTCTTCCACCTGCTCAACTTCCTCACACCGTTGAGATTCAGGTAGGTCCTAGACTCTGTTTCATAATATGGTTTTTCCTTAAGGTGTAAAACTACAACATAAGTCTCAGTGGTGAAGTTGGTCAAGGTTTAGCTTTGATTTAGAAAGCTTTGTAACTTTTTCCCACATGAAACTGTGACTTTCCAGGTGTGCTTCAGAGGTGCATAGGATCCTAATGGTTAGAAATATCTATCTAACTGTGCGTGTCAGAAAGATCTTTTTGTCATACTTACCTTCTCCTGACCTTTCAGATTGTTATGTTGTCAGCTGTACCTCAAGCAAATTTGAGGTTTTTAGGAAAACGTTTAAATCAAAGTTAAATAAATGAACAGAGGTATGGCAAATGATGCACAGCAACTTCGCAGCCGAGGTGCATTTGCTGTCATCCGTGTTATATTCAAGATTCAAAGGCTGTGTTGCCATATGCACAGTAGCTACAGTGTAGTCATGGCAATGAGCATCTTAGGTCCCGAGCTCCTCAAACAATGCAACTGTGTGTGTGTGTGTGTGTGTGTGTGTGTGTGTGTGTGTGTGTGTGTGTGTGTGAAAAAACATTAAATAGAGTAAAATAAAAGAGTGCAGATGATGTTGCCTTGTTGCATTATCATGTTGTTATATCAGTGTAGTTATATCACCTGTCTGTTTGCAGTAAACTGGAGATCTTCCTGGAGGAGTTTGCCGACATCGCAAAGGAAGACCAGATCAAGAAGCTGCACGACATGCTGGGTCCTCACATGCTCAGGAGGCTGAAGGCCGACGTCTTCAAACACATGCCCTCCAAGACGGAGCTCATCGTCCGAGTGGAGCTCAGCCCTCTGCAGAAGTGAGTCGTCTTTCATTTTCAAAATGTAGATGTTCTTTCTAAATGATGATGTTGTACAAATAAGGGAGTATATATTTCAAAGGAGAGTATACATTGTCTGTGTTTATCTACAGAAAATACTACAAATTTATCCTGACGAAAAACTTTGAGGCTCTGAACTGCAAAGGAGGAGGAAACCAGGTTTCTCTGCTCAACGTCGTCATGGACCTCAAGAAATGCTGCAACCACCCCTACCTCTTCCCCGCTGCTGCTATTGTAAGAGCCTAATAATGTTCCTATTACGTGACAAATCATGACACTTTAGATCAAATTAATTGAAAGCATGTTTTGCAATTCTGCATTGAGATTAAATTTTGATTAGATTGTTGTTTTAGGAAACCTTTCTTTTAGAAAAGTAAACTTTTGCTTTCTTAATGTTTGATTTCTCTCTCCAACAGGAAGCTGCAAAGATTCCCAACGGGATGTACGATGGCAACGCTCTCACAAAGGCTGCTGGGAAACTGACGTTGCTGCAGAAGATGATGAGGAAGCTGTATGATGGAGGACACAGAGTGCTCATCTTTTCTCAGGTAACACTTCTAAGGACTGACTCGGAAAACAAAGATGGTCAATTTGTGGAAACACTTGTGTTGCAGACTCTGCCTGCTCCACAAACAAGTACATGCTTATAATTCCCAATAGGAAATGCAACTAGACCTTTAAGAGCCAGAGATCTCACCAGCTGTTCCCAACAAACTGTCTCCTCTGTGTTTTGCTGCAGATGACCAAGATGTTGGACTTGCTCGAAGACTTCCTAGAGAACGAGAGCTACAAGTACGAGAGGATTGATGGAGGGATCACTGGCGGGATGAGACAGGAAGCTATTGATCGCTTCAACGGTGAGAACGGGGACAAGAAGAGCTCCAGCTTTGGTTGTTTTATTTTGTAAAAGAATCCTTTATCTTTTTAAAAGGAGAGTCCAGCTGCTCAGGTGGTTAGCTGGCTCTGTTGTGATTGGGCAACCGCTTAGAGATGTCCCGCCCCTTAGCATATCACGTACAAAGTGCTGGAGCGCTAGCCAATAGAAGTGCGAGTGGTACATAGTAGTGTCACTATGTTACGGAAGTAAACTACAAGTAGACTACAATGGAGGGCTTTCGGGGGAGAGGAGGGAGGAGGAGTGTGAGGGAGGGGGGGGTGAGTGGAGAGAACTTTGGGATTTTAGCCTTTGCAGACCATTTAGATGCACAGAAACCTATGACACACTACAGGGAAGGGAAAACCCCAAAAAGCATAACAGAGCCCCTTTAATTTACGCTTTACTTGATCTATTGTTATAAAAGTTCCCAATCTTAAATGGAACGTTCTAGTTTAAACATTCTTATAGAATATTTGTCAACTTTTTTTTCTTTTTTTTTCCTTCAGCTCCTGGCGCTCCGCAGTTTGCCTTCCTGTTGTCAACAAGGGCCGGGGGTCTGGGTATCAACCTGGCCACGGCCGACACCGTCGTCATCTATGACTCCGACTGGAACCCCCACAACGACATCCAGGTACAGCGGCTACTTCATCTATTCCTACTCGTTTTTATTGATAATAAGGTGAAGCGTAGGGAAGACATTTTCTGTGGACCTCTAGAGAAATCTGGAACATTTGACTTGTATCTGTCTTATTGGTACTGTTTGTAACGTTTGACTGTAATAACTATTTTTCCTATTTACTCTAAAGTTCCGGGCACACTTGTTAATCAAGCTCATTTTGTGAAGATCTCATTTGAAGTGTTAATGAAAACTCTTCCTCGGTCCAGGCCTTCAGCAGAGCTCATCGTATCGGTCAGAACAGGAAGGTGATGATCTACCGCTTCGTCACCAGGGCCTCGGTGGAGGAGAGGATTACTCAGGTGAGCAGGACGGAGCAACACACAGAAACCTGACAATGTTCTTTTCTTTTTTTTAAATGTCAACCACTGAGTGGCAAGTGTTGCTGAATAGTTGCCTAAATCTGGCTTAATTTTCTTCTCACCATCCTCTGTACAGGTTGCCAAGAAAAAGATGATGCTGACTCACCTAGTGGTCCGACCCGGTCTCGGATCCAAGACGGGCTCCATGTCCAAGCAGGAACTAGACGACATCCTCAAGTTTGGAACAGAAATGCTCTTCAAGGACGAGTTGTATGGGACTTTAGGTGAGGGTTGAAACAATGCAGATATGCTGAGAGGTCATTTGTGTTGGTGCATGAAGGGGTTTAAAAGTGAGGTGTTTTTTTGTAACTGTGTTTTTTTGTGCAGGAGATCCCAAGAACAAGGACGACGACGGCAGCGTCATCCACTACGACGACAGGGCCATCGACCGTCTGCTAGACAGGAACCAGGACGCCACCGACGACACGGAGCTAGCCAGCATGAACGAGTACCTGAGCTCCTTCAAGGTGGCTCAGTATGTGGTCAAAGACGAGGAGGAGGAGGTGAGTGCCTGATTTACTACAGCAGAAATCTGACGTTGCTTAGTATAGGCAGGGTTCGTACGGTCATTGAGAACCTGGAAAAGTCATGGAAATTCAAAATGCAAATTCCAGGCCCTGGAAAAGTTATGGAAGACAATATTTTTCCCAAAGTTTTGGAAAAGAAATGGAAATGTAATTAAAGTTGCGTCAAATATAATTTACATTTCTAATCGCCGAAATAATCTGCGGTCGCGAGCTGTTATGTGCCATCATGACGCGCATGGTGTTATTTTTTTAATATATGAAGCGCGAGCTGTGTGCTCGAGTCTTCCTGCCCGTCGGGCCGGCTGAACCCTGCTGCTCCGGGATGAGTGTCAGCTACATTATCTACGGTGCGTTCATTAACTGTGCGGAGTCACTGTGGCACAGACTGCACCGCTGATGAACAGCTGTTAGAACGGGCCGTTCAGAGCAGAGCGGCAGAGCGTGATGTGAACTGAAAAGTTTTTCTGTCGCAATATTATTTAAGGAATCGTTGAGCTAGCTAGCTAGCTAGCATACGTTGTCACTATCTGCTAACGTTAGCTTTAGCCTTCGTTTTCTAATAGTTTTTTTTTCATAGGCTATAAACAGAGGTGGTATAAGTATATATATATATGGTACTTGAGTAAAAGTAGAAGTAGTCAGATCTTGTACTTGAGTCAATTATGGAACACCTTCATGCCTTCATGCCAATCTAGATCCCTCCGCTTCGCGCAAAAGTAGAAGGACTCAGATCTTGTACTTGAGTAAAAGTAGAAGTACTCAGATCTTGTACTTGAGTAAAAGTACTCAGAACTTGTACTTGAGTAAAAGTAGAAGTACTCTGATCTTGTACTTGAGTAAAAATAGAAGTTATGACTCCCACTATTAATTGAAATGCTTTTATGGATTTAGAAAATGATTTTATTGATTTAAAAAAAAAAAATTGTATATATATTTTTTTCTATAGAAAAATAGTCCGTTGTTACTGTTTGAACTAACGTAGCAACGGCAGGAACTGCTTCGATAGCATTTTTGAGGAGCTTTTTGATTACAGATTTGAAAACATCACTCCTTGCTTTAAAAGTAGCACAATTCATTTTGTCAAACCTTTAGATATCCCTGCCCTAATGCCAAAGTAACTGGCAACTGAATATGTGTCGCCGTTTGATGTCTATGTCTGGACCGTTGCGTAAAAAGGAGGATTTCTGCCCCGTTACTTCTCCGCTGTTTTCTTGTCGCTCTTGTCTTGTCAGTTAGAAAAGCAAACTGCATGCACTTTGCTTTTCAGGCCAAACTGTATACAGTTAAATCGAACAGACTTCTTTCTGCAGATGTGAGCGTCCTTAACAACGGTCAATAAATCCTTGACAGCGGTCTCTCTGTTCTGGATTAACAACGTGTCACGTGTTCTGAATTGACCAATCAGAATCGAGTATTCAACTAAGCCATGTAATAAATACATGTAGGGGAGTAGAAGTACACCTTTTACCTCTGAATTGTAGAAGAACAAAGTAGCAAAAAATTGTAATACTTAAATAAAGTACAAGTATCTCAAAACCCACGTATAGTACTTGTTGAGTTTATGAACTTAGTTACTTTACACCAGTGGCTATAAAGATAGAAAGACTAAGCCTTGCACAGAGGCATGAAAATACATTTTCAAAATGCTCAACAGTGCTGCCAAAATTATAAACTGACTGCTACACAATTTAAAATAAATGCTTTTATATATTTCTATTAGATGTGACTCTTTGGCGTTTCTGTTATTATTAACACTGCTGCTTTAGTTGTTCTGACTGCTAAAATCCTCTATTATTCCTCATTTTAAAGCCGATATTCCGTGGGGTCGGGGGGCTCGGATCCATGTCACCTTTTTCATACCTGATGACTTTGCATCCCTGATCCCTGACTACAGTTGCTTTAAGCGTGTAGAAGCTAGAAAGCCTAGTATTTGATTTGTTTTAGATAGGCAGACCTTATTTTCCTGTTCCATGTTAAAATAAACCATTTTCAGTGGTCATTTTGTTTTGGTCATGGAAAATTAGGTAAAGGTCATTGAGAAGTCATGGAAAGGTCATTGAAAATCATTGGTGAAAAAGTGTATGAAGGGATCAGGCTTGGAGGTGGAAATGTATAGTAACAATTCATATAACAAATGAGATTCTTATCAAAGTAAATTCTGAAACGATGCCAAGAAGGTATCTTTACCAAAGAAAATATTGCTACACCAAATCAAAGTTTGGCTGAGCAGTATTCTGTTATTTGTTTAAAAAGTCTCACACAATTCCAGTTTTACTGTCCTTTTGGGCTTGATTTTGAAGTTGGCAAGATAAAACAATGGCAGCTAGTCCATGCATATTCATTTTATTGATGTAACTGGGAAGATTTGAATGTATTGTATAACTTGAAGCTGTTACTGATGAGGTCACTGTCATTTGAGAAATACTAAAAACTGTTCAGTAAAAATGTTTTTATTTGTGCAGTTTTAACACAAATAATGTTACTTTTCGTCTTCAGCTAGCAGGACAAACCACCAGAGCAGACTGTATTAGCTTCTGAAATTAGCCTCCTATATACTAATATACAGAAAGATTGACATCACAGATTCCAACAGGAACTTGGGAAACATAGCTTTATCTCAGCTGTTACTTTCGTCTTCACCCTTCTCCAACCTTTTCCATCTTTTTCTCCTTTTGCTCAGGAGGAGGAGGTGCAGCGAGAGGTCATCAAGCAGGAGGAGAGCGTGGATCCGGACTACTGGGAGAAGCTGCTGCGTCACCACTACGAGCAGCAGCAGGAGGACCTAGCCCGCAACCTGGGCAAAGGCAAACGTATCCGCAAACAGGTCAATTACAACGACGGCTCCCAGGAAGACCGGGGTAAGAGCAGAGGTAAATATGGGAGCTCTTTTTTTACTACTAGCATTCAAGTTGGTTTTAACGTGTGACTTACAAATGTACAAGTGCAAATAACATCCGCCCTTCCAGATATTATTCACCCATCAGGCTTTTCCTCTAAACCCTCTTTTTAACTACCGTGTTGCACAAATAAATGTGTACTGTTGCTAAAACAATACTCAAGATAGGACACATTCTATTATAATATATTGAATCCTTATCAAAACATGAACAATTTGGCCAGGCACTTTATGCACCTGACATCTTCTATAATCTGTCACACAAACACATGTTGTACTCAAAAGGCTTGAAGTACAGTACCAGCCTGTATTTGCATCACTTGAGAATGCTTTACTGTAAGTCCCAGATGTAGCTGGATGGGTGTCGCCTCTTGAATCAAGAGACTACATTACCCATAATGCACTGCACATAACTGCCATGATCTTAGCTTGTTTAGGAGTAAGATGTCGCTCCCGCCCACACACACAAACTCAGTGAGGAATATGGCCATTTAAGACACACAGCAGGTGTTTGTGTGCAACAGCAGGAAAGACAGGGTTATAAAACAAACTCAAATCAACAACAGTAGTTTTATCTCTTTCGCCCTTTATTAACCATATTCAGTCTTGGGTGTGATTATTTGACCCAGTAACAAAATGATGATAATGAATGCAATTCGCCGCCCTGCCCACCTAAGGGTTTAAGTCATGCATGTTTCCAGATCCTTTTTAAGAGCTTTTACCAAATGGTTTCATTTAAGTCTTATTGGACTGTCTTGTTGTTTTTCTCTTGCAGCTGATTGGCAGGATGACCAGTCTGACGGCCAATCGGATTACTCTGTGGCATCTGAGGAGGGAGACGAAGACTTTGATGAGCGAACAGAAGGTAAAAAGTGTTAACAGAACAATATGCCGTCTAAATGTTAAGTTTTCTCCACAAGGTGTATCACATATTGATGTATAAAGAAATGTATATAAAAAGTCAGAGGACATGTCATTATCTCTCTGTTGATCACATCTGTTTCCTCTCTGCAGCCAACTCTCGCAGGCCGAACAGGAAGGGCCTGAGGAATGACAGAGACAAGCCGCTGCCCCCCCTGCTGGCCAGGGTGGCCAGGGTGGGAGGCAACATCGAGGTGAGCGTCCCCCGGGATTATATGTTTTTCTTCTCTTACACAACGACTGCATCAGACAGCCGCAGTTCAGAAAGTGTTGCTTCATTCTGTGTCTCTAAATAAAGCCTTTCCCTTCCTGCGGTTTCCCAGGTGTTGGGTTTCAACTCTCGCCAGAGGAAGGCCTTCCTGAACGCAGTGATGCGTTATGGGATGCCTCCCCAAGACGCATTCACCACCCAGTGGCTGGTCCGAGACCTGCGAGGGAAATCTGAGAAAGAGTTCAAGTAAGAAACCAAAATAAAAACCCCAACTCTAAATATTAGGTATTTAAGACTTTAAAGACATACAATTAAAATGTTACAATATGCAAGTTAGTATTTATTTGGGAAAATGTGGATCATAATTCAATACACGTTTCAAACTTCCATACTTATTTCACGATAACAAATTTAACTGGATTTACTTTTATTTGTTGAACTTTCTTAGACCTAACTTTATGTGTAAAATCATATCTTATGAAATATTTGTAGCCTGCAGATATGATCTCCTTTAGAATTGTCTTTTACACACACTGATATTACACGCAACAGCCTTTTTATCCTGTGCATATTTTAAATTCCCCAATATATTTCTCTTCTTTTCATTTGTTTTCTTTGTGTATTCGTCATGAATCTTTTCTCCTCCGTCTCCCTCTCAGGGCGTACGTCTCTCTGTTCATGCGTCACCTGTGTGAGCCCGGAGCCGACGGAGCCGAGACCTTCGCAGACGGTGTCCCCAGAGAAGGGTTGTCACGGCAACACGTCCTCACCCGCATCGGCGTTATGTCACTCATTCGCAAGAAGGTAACGACCGCAGCCTTTACTTAGTTTTACTTTCATTTATTTGTTATTAAAGCAAATGAGAAAAAAAATGGTAACCGACTAAAACAAAGCACCTCAAATGATCTTTGTTCATCCGAGTAAAACGTTTATCAAAATGTTTGCGACTCGGCAACATTGATCATTGTTTCAGCTCAATACATTTGCCCTCTATCTTTGTCATTTGAGTAGGTTGGGTTTGTTTTTTTTTGTCCTGCGATTCCCCTTCTTCATTACCCATTAAGGAAATTGTAGGAAGACGAATAAACACAAGAAACGGCAAATTAAAGATAATTTTTTTTTAATGTTTTCTGACATTTTATAAAATTGTGTTTTGATTGATCAAAAACGATTAGAGCCATTAATAAAGCAGTTTTGTGAAATGGCTCAAAGAGATGCTGCTGCCCTAATAGACGTCTGTTGGTCATGAGTCCTTTGAGCTCTCCTGACGCCCGTGTGCTTCATGGTTCCAGGTCCAGGAGTTCGAGCATGTAAACGGTCAGTGGTCGATGCCCTGGATGGCCGAGCTGGAGGAAAGCAAGAAGGCCGCAGCTCTGCCCGACTCCCCGGGGAAAACCCCGTCCACCGGCACCCCCGCCGACACGCAGCCCAACACACCTGCTCCAGGTAACACACACGTCCACTCACTGTGCAACACACACTCTACTAACTGACCTGGGGGATGTTGGATTCAAATCAACATCGTGAATAACTGTCGGTCTGTCGGTGTGTAGTTGACGAATCCTCTTCAAAGAACGAGGAGACAGTGAAGGATGCAGACAAGGACACGGAGAAGGAGGTTAAGAAAGAGGGCGAGGTGGAGAAGAACGGCAAAGAGTCGGCAAAGAGCAGCAACGAGGTAAAAAGGAGATTCATTTGAGAGACGTGACATTCGACCACATTTAGTTTTCTGAGATGTTTCATCAAATCCCCTCCGTGCTCCCTCCAGGTGATCTCCATCCCGGACGACGACGAGAAAACTCCGTCAGCCGAGCCGGAGGCTAAGAAGAACGGGGAGGAGCCCATGGAGACGGACAAACCGAGCAACGGAGAAACGGAGAGCGTTAAGGAGAAGGAGGGAGAAAAGGAGAAGGAAGGCGAGAAGGAGGGAGAGAGCGAGGAGAAGAGTCCAGAGGAAGGAGAGGAAACCAAGTCGCCTGCCGAGGCCAAGGCGGAGGGGTCAGAGGTCAAACCTGAGGAGACCGAGGTCAAAGGTAAAACTCTTCCTCCCACTCTAACGTTCTTTAACTATTTCTCATTTTCTCATCTTTCGAAAGGTGTCCAGACATTCTGTCGTTACTGAATACAAACGTAACTTCTTATTTAGACACAAACACAGATGTGTCAAACAAAGGATGAATAATGAATGAAAGAATGTGCGAAGACCTGAAGTCAAATATGATTTAAAATAGAAAACGCAACCAGGTCAAAGAAATTGTAGCAATAATTGAAAAGTATGGAGAAAATGTCTTCAACCAATCATACCAATATTTACAATGAATTTCCTACATCGTTTCACTTTACCTAAATAACAACTTATACATATTCATTTCAATATTTTACTTTGTATTGATTTTAAATGTTGGTACTGTTGTTCTGGCCTTAACGTCTTTCATTTCTTTTTTTTATCATGTTTTCCTCTTTTTTTGCAGCAGCAGAAGAAAAGAAAGACGAAGAGAAGAAAGAAGAGAAGATGGACACCGCTCCTGCAGATGATAAGAAAGGTATGAACCCCTTTTTGTATAAATATTAAATAATATTAATATATATACTATATATTATATATATTTCTCACAAAACAGAAAGTAAAATGAAAACACCTCATCAGATCTCAGGTATATCAGGTCCTTGTCAGTAGGCCTCAGCTATCTGCTCTACGCCCCTCCCTGCTTCACCCCCTCCCTGCTGCCCCCCCCCTCTTTAACCGTGCTCCCTCTCCTGCAGTGGACCTGAAGGAGGAGAAGGAGCCTCAGAAGCCGGAGGAGGCGACCAAGCTGCAGAACGGAGACGGCAGCAAGGAGAGCGCCTCCACTGCCGTCACACCCGCCATCTCTGCTGCCACCGCCGCCGCCGCTGTGGTGGCCGCCGCCGCCAGCGAGGAGAAGAAGAAGGCCAAGACCAGATTCATGTTCAACATCGCTGACGGAGGATTCACGGGTACACACAAGCACACCTAGAAAATCACACGCACTGAAACTCAATCAAAGATCACATTTCCTAATCGCCCTGTTTCCTCTCGCAGAGCTCCACTCTCTGTGGCAGAACGAGGAGCGGGCGGCCACCGTTACCAAGAAAACCAATGAGATCTGGCACCGTCGTCATGACTACTGGCTGCTGGCTGGCATCATACAGTATCCTTTTCCTACCTGTGATTGGCTCTGAGATGTGATTATGAAAGGCGGGTGTTGTAAATTGAGAATTGTTGTTTTGAGATGAAAACATGTGGTTGTTGCCCTTGACCGCGCCCCCCCCCAAGACATGGTTATGCCCGCTGGCAGGACATCCAGAACGACGTGAAGTTCGCCATCCTCAACGAACCTTTCAAGGGAGAGATGAACCGAGGAAACTTCCTGGAAATAAAGAACAAGTTCCTCGCCAGGAGGTTCAAGGTAGGTTCACGTTTTGATGAATTGAAGGAAAACACTGATAAGGGAAGAGTTCATCTAAAAGGACCTTTTTCATTATCGGAGAAACTCTAAACCCCTCTCTGCTCTCTCCCTCTCTGCTCTCTCCCTCCAGCTGTTGGAGCAGGCGCTGGTGATCGAGGAGCAGCTACGTCGTGCCGCCTACCTCAACATGTCCGAGGACCCCTCCCACCCCTCCATGGCCCTCAACACCCGCTTCAGTGAGGTGGAGTGTCTGGCCGAGTCCCACCAGCATCTCAGCAAGGAGTCCATGTCCGGGAACAAGCCGGCCAACGCCGTCCTGCACAAAGGTTAGACAGGAAGTCATCAAGCAGATCAAGTGGAACTCATTTGTCGGCCAGTTTGATCAAGTTTCAGGTTTATTTCTCCAAAAAGTCACATCCTATTCCTCAGGTTTGAAGAGCTTTTTGACTTTTCTTTGGTTTTCTTTGAACATTAATGCTCAAACGAGTGAATTACTCTTACTTCTGACTTGTGGTTAATTATGCTGCTGCTCCTTTTGTACACGTTTTCAATGTGTTTTTTTAAAGACACATTTCTCTTATCTTAAATAACTCAACTTTCAAAAATGGCAAAAGTTAGTTTGACGATAAGGTGGTGGAAAAAGCATGTAGACAATTAGAGTGCCACAGGAAATGTTAGATAGAATCTATTGCAATGGAAGGAAATTAAAATATTTTCTAATTAAAAATGTTGCATAAAATAAACAGAACTAAAATAAGCAATCATAAATCTGATTGATCAAACAAACCGTTCAGTGGGTGAGTGTCTATCATTTCTTATCTCCCCCTCTCTCAGTGCTGAAGCAGTTGGAGGAGCTGCTGAGCGACATGAAGGCGGATGTCACCCGCCTCCCGGCAACCATCGCCCGGATACCGCCGGTTGCCGTGCGACTCCAGATGTCAGAGAGGAATATCCTGAGCCGGCTGGCGAGTCGAGGATCAGAGACACAGACACAGTCACAGACACAGTCACAGACTCAACAGGTACAGAGCCGGGGGGGTCGGGGTCTTTATCTCAGCTGGACTGATGATCACTCTGCAGTAAAACGTTCATCAGCAACCGTGGAAACCAACATGAGGTTTACATACTGACATGTTGAGCTTTACCAGCTGAAAACACATTCTGCTTTCTTTTCGTTATTTTTACTTACATGATTAGAGACAATTTAGAACAAGGAGTTTGAGAGGATGTTTACATTTATCATTGTAACTATGCCACATTTAAAAATGTAAGAATTTGTACTTTAGTATTTTTCGTTAGTCTACAGACAATTATTTGTTGTTAAATTCTATTGGAACTTTTTGCACATTTTTTAGTTTTTAAGCCAATAAAAAGCAACGCACTGCGCGCAGTGCTACGTCAGAAAGAGAGCTACAGTAGATTATTTAGAATTGTCTTTGTGTGTAGAAACACTTTATCACTATCCTGCCAAATGTTGGCAACATGTAAGAACATTGCACGATGGGAGAGGAGCTAAGCATCTCTTAGCATGAAAAGCAGAGGAATGCACTCCATGGATTATTATGTATAAGTTTATTGTGTAAATGGTAAATGGAAGTTAGCACACACATAGGTGAGCTGTTGTTTGAACGTAGATTTTGTATGCATGTATTTGATTATGTTGTATTTTTATGAGGGCTGTCAGTCGATTAAAATATTTAATCGCGATTTAATCGCATGATGTCCATAGTTAATTGCACATTTTTTATCTGTTCTAAATGTACCTTAGAGGAATATTTTTTAATACTTTTATCAACATATGAGTGGACAAATATGCTTTATGCAAATGTTTGTTTAATATCATTGGAACAATGACAAATATTCTCCTGAGTATTTTCAATACAACAACCTGGAACCTCTCTCTCTCTCTCTCTTCACTCTCTCCCAACCCTGTCTACTTCTTTGCACTGAGCCAGTTGCTCAAACAGACGAGCCTGTTTACAGTTGTTGGCGAAATTCAGCTCCTCTGTCTTCATAGCAGTCAAAGCATGAGACTGAAGTTCCCACCTAGGTTCAAAATAATGCACTGTGATGTGCAGTCGACACGTTGGGTGCGATCCGAATGATCTCACACAGTCCCTCGTCCTCCACAATGTTAATTGTCCTGCAAGCTGTAGCCACCGCCACCCATTTAGCTATCGCTGTTGAAAGCTTGCTGCTCGTAGAAGTGTCCAGGCGTCTCCCCGGCAAACTTTCAAGCGTGGTCTGCCACAAGCGAGCGTCAGGAGTGGGGCTGTCAGCATCAGCTGTGTGCTTGGCTTGCTGTTTAAAACACCTTTTTTTTAATCCATATCTCTCGCTAGAATCTCCCACCGTCCAACTAACAACAACAACAACGTCAAGTCTTTGGGCTCTGAAACTACGGGGCGGGCCGAGGACAAATACACATGCGTTAATCGCATGTTGAAATAATTAGTGGCGCTCCCTTAACTTGACAGCCCTCATTTTTATACCTACCGCAACGATCATGACCGCATTTCTCAAAATCTAGAACTATTCCCTTTTTTTAATATCCAATGATTAATAAAAGTGACATTCTTCTTCCTGTTTTCCTCCTCTAGATGTCGCAGCAGCAGATGTCGCTGCAGCAGATGTCGCAGCAGTCGCAGCAGCAGCAGCAGCAGCAACAGCAGCAACAGCAGCAACAGCAACAGCAGCAGCAGCAGCAGCAGCAGCAGCAGCTGCAGTAGACGGAAAATCCGCGCTTTACCTCGAAAACCAACCCCCTGCCTCACCTCGACATTCCTGATTGGTGCACAGCAGACTGACGGACAGCGCGCTCAAGCTTGAAGCCACGCCCAGTTCACGTCCCCCCCCCCCAAACAGACTTTAAACAGAGTTTTTCTGGAGGATCGAATCCCTTCCCCAACGTTGAGACTGTGGACAGAAAAGCTATTTTATTTTTTTTTCTCCTTTTTTCAATTTCTGTATTAATATTATTGATATAATGTTATTATGATGGTTTTTTGGGACCTAAATAAAAAAAAAAAATGTTATAAAGAATTAGTTTGTGGTCAGTTGGGGGATGTGGGTTACGGTGGCCTTCTGTGTTCACATTAGAGTAAAATGACCTAATGCTATCATTGAATTCATGTGTTTTTAGATGTTTTTACTTTCCGTGAGGTAAGGGAAAGATAACTATAAACTGGCTTCAATTCTAAGTACAGGACCCTCCTGTAAATGTATCTCAGATATACATTTTTGATGTTAAATTCATTGTAGCACTTCTTCATTAATTTAATGTTAACTGATCATCTACTCTCACAAATGTACCCATCTTTCCAATTTTTACTTATTTTATATTTTAATGTGTAGGGAGTTTATGTCCAACACTCAAAAATGTGGATATAATAGAGGTACAAAATGTTTTCATATACTGTTCTCTCTGTTAGTACTTGGAAGACGGTGTATGAATACAAATAAGAGAACCAAATATTTAATACCATCATGTTCCTTGTTCTGTCTCAAAGATAGTCGGAATGTATTTAAACTTTATAACAGTTTTGAACCACCCAAATTGTATTTGTTTTAGATAGCTCCTTGATTGGGTGATTCAGGTATAGATTTGGAATGTAGTTATTTAGACTTTTTCAAGTAGAACACAATACTGGAAAACCTGCTTTGAGTTAATGTGCAGTCAAAGCATCTTTTATCAAATGCTGGTATCAATCAGCTATTCCTATTTGTCACCAGTAGACAAGAAAATAACATTAAAAAAAACATGGACAAACTTTTATGGATAAATCAGGGCAAAAACATAGCATTTATTTTGGAAATATTAATTTATTTGAGATCCCCGTCCATCAACATAACTGCTTTTTAAATGTCAAATGTAATCTTGGTTTTTAAGCAGTACAGAAACATCAGCTAACGCAGTGGGAAAGCTCAAGCACTCACAGATTTAAACTCTAATATTTCTCTTTACATTTTAAATAATCCACCTATGATTTCTACAGTCTCACCGTTTCATTCAGAAAAAGCCTCAGAAATATACAGAGGAGTCGCATTCAAGCAGAAACATTTGAACCACAGCTGAAATACACAAAACAGGTCCACGAGACAACAGAAACAGGAAGTGCTGCATCACAACTGTTACATAACTCACGGGACGGACACACGCAGGAGGAAAATATATCCAAATTGTTCTTGTATCTAAAACGGAAATACATCAGTAGCAGTACCAATACTGACATCAAGAGGGCAGCTGTCCTGAACAATACTGTACAAAACAGCTGGCAAACAAAATAAATGGTCAGGTGACAAAGCAATGGAAGAAAAAGCCACAACACTTCCTGTCCCTTATAAAAAATGTAATCGGACTTTCTGCGACCCATTTTTGTAAATCCCTTTATGTAGGTGAGAGAAAAAAAAATCATATAATATAATCCAGAGAGCTTTAGCCATATATGGCATATTAGACCAAATGAACAAATCCTGGTTCAATGGATTTATGACATGCAGTAAAATGTCTTTTTGTGTTTAAACCCCTTGGCTACAATAAATATGACTTCATTTTATTTTGTAGAGAGGACAATACAAGAACCAGGAAGAAAAACATTTTGTTTTTTAATGTACTCATCATTTAACTGTCCTGAAACAAGAATATTACATTCACTCCGGAGAAATGTATGTAGAAGAAAAGAGAAAAGAAGAGAAGGAGGCACTGGACTGGAGCACATTACAGACCGAGCATGGAGCTTTTCTGAGGAAGAGGAGGATGAAGAGCAGGAGGATGAAGAGCAGGAGGAGAGGCTGGGTTTCGGCTCGATGGCGTTGGTGCAGACTCGTCCTGCAACTCTGTCCATCCCTGAAGAGCTGCTCAGTAGAAGAAATACACTGAGGAGGGAGAGCAGAGGAGTTAGAGTGGATGGGACAATTAGGAATGATTTTGACTGTTACAATTCTACAACGACTGACAAACTGCACCTCCTGATACTTCTTTTGTAGACATTTTTCAAACACTTTCAGTAGTTTGATTTGCCATAATTCATATTCTGAATGACAATCGTTTGTATTTGTTTAGGGTCAATAATATGTTATTTTTTTCTAAATACACTTAAACGTAAAAATCTTTAAAACAATTATTTTCTGTCTCCCTCAAACAGAAATACAAGCCTAAATCCTGTTGGTCTGAAAACAGATCTGCACAAGCTGAAAGGTAATGGGTCATAAAAACAGTTCCTTTGAACAAATGTCTTTGTGATCTTCCTGTTAGATTCAGACATCCATTGTGTGCAAAATTATTACATTTATTAGTACATTTCTGTCCATAAAAGTAATGTTTTCCTTAGAGGTATCATGATGTCGGCCCTACAGCAAAGACCAGAGGGTAAAACTAAATTGTGAGGATTTATTCATCCACGAATATCAAAAGCCAATTTAATGAAACCCTTGTTTTGAGTCACAAATCAAAGTGGTGGTCAGAGCAGGGGCACTTTGCTCTGATGATGGTGCTAGACAAGTCAAAAGATGAACAAACATCATCTGTGGTCGTCTAGTCACAACACAAAAAGAGTGACAGAAAATATAACAGGAAACATCTGACTGAATTATACCAGAAAGAAATACTGTTGAAAATGAGGAAGCAGATATTTTAAAGAAGAGAACCCTTTTAAAAAATAAGGAAAGTTTGCTATTTGAAACTAAAGATTAATTACTCACAGAAGACGACTCCAAAACAAATTACACCTATGACTGCCATCATGATCATCATCTGGAGGGAAAAGAGACAAACAAAGTCACATCATAAATTCACGAATAACCTTAATATCTTTTATGTCTGAAATATGCCAAACAAAGCCTTGAAATTAGAGAGGAATTAGGGGACAAAAAAAAAATGTCTGTTGTTTAATTTGTTTCCATTTGAATTTTTCTCCACGACCACGTGATAGTGTTTTAGTGTGGGGTATTTTGGTTCAAATACAATATGCAAAGCTACACATTATGGACCTACGTACTCGATAAATAAATCCACATGATGACATAGTAGGGACAGACAGGAAATCACATCACCTCAGTGGGGGGAGGGGAGAGAGATTAACAGGAACAATGAGAGGACAGGAGAGAGAGATAGGGCGAGGAGAGAGAGATAGGGGGGGGGGGGGTGTTGTGGGTTACTGAGAACAAAGCAAAAATAGAGAAACCAGATGTTAGTCGAAAATGAATGTAACACAAGGAAATGATGAGTAAGTGAGTAAATGGATTGGTTCCGGGGACTATTTTCAGCCGCGGATTAATCTGCATTTGGGGATCTAGTGAGTATTTGGGACGGTGTGTGTGGAATTGAGTAGAATGGTAGCGAAGGAACCTGTCACCCACTGCATCGCGACAGCTTACTGAAGTGTTTTTATTAGGTTTTGGACAACAATGGCACAGAGGAAGAAGTTATATCAGGATTTAATACATATATAATAGGATATAGTGTTTATGTTCTAAGGCATTGGTTGAAAACTCATTTAACCCTCCTATTGTCTTCGTTTCCCGCCCTTTACTTTGGTGTTCGCGGTCAAATTTGACCGGTCCTGTTTAACTGCTATTACACAAAAACCTTTAATCATCAGCACATTTCATTTAACACCCTTTCAAACTCTAAATATTGTATCAGACTACTGGTATACATGTAAATATACAAAGAATAGACACTGAACTTGTATTGCGTGGGCCAGGTGTGAGCCATGTGGGGGGATGGGCACATAAGAGCGGGAAATGTGTCAAATTGTTCTGTGTGTGTGTTTGTGCCAGTGCCAGACAGGTGTGATTCACATGGGGGGATGAGCCATGGGATGAGCACATAAGGGGGGGGGGGCACATCTAGAGTGTGTGTGTGTGTGTGTTTTATCTTATCCAGATGGTTACTAATTCCTTTTCTGTATACATTACATGTTACTTGTTAGACACTTTTATCCAAAGCCACTTCCATACTCAATACTGTGGACAATCCCCACAGGAGCAATTTGGGGTGAAGTGTCTCAGGGACACAACGACATGCTGACTGCAGTGGGGTTTGAACCTGTGATCCCCTGATCCCCCTGATCTGATCACCAATGCACTAACCCACTGTGCCACACGCCTCCTCCTCCTGTATGGCGGTCATTTTTGACCGGGAACACCATGGGTGTTACAAAGTGGTGACTGATCAGCAATTGTATATGTTCAAATGTCTACTGTGAAGGATATCATAAAGCCTTAATGCAAATGAATGTAAAACAAAAAAGTTATGATTGATGAAAGTAGTAAATCGGTCAGATTTGACCCGAAGACAACAGGAGGGTTCAAAATCATCAACACCCCCCAAAGACTTCACCAAACACACCACAAAGAACACGGCCTGGGTGTCATTGGCGTTAATATTAAAGGCTATAATGCTTTATGTCCTCACTTGTAAAGACGTACACATCAGCGTGTGTTTTAGTGTGTATTGGGGGTGGGTGGAGTTACATCACAAATCACAGCTGGCTCTATAATCCCACACTGACACTGTAATCCAGATTGGGATTTCTCTCTCTGACTTCCTGGTCACTGTCAGTAATCCTCCTCTGCCTCTCTAAACGGCAGCTTCTGATTGGCGGATATGGAACCAGCACAGTCTGTCCGTCAGAGGCGGAGCGATGGACGGACAGAGTGAGATAAAAATGAATTGGCAGCCGAGGCCGGACTGATGAATGACCAGGGGAGAGCGAGATGTGATGAGGGAGGGGAACGAGGGATAAAGATGGCGGCTGATCTCACACCGGATGGTTCGTTCCATTCGGCTGATGAATTTACCATCATCATCATATTTTAAAGAATGCTTTAGTTTATATCAACAATACACAATGTTGGTTTCAATGGTGGATTGTCACCAAGTACATTCAATCGAGTTATTAATTACAAAGTCGAAGTACTTGCACTTTGAGGATAGTGTTGAAGACCAAAAAGTATTATAAATGGTAAATTCTCAGAGGCTATATATGGAAGGAATATTGTAACTTTTCACTCTATAGCAGAGTAAAGAATATGATGCACTGCTGTAGATTAAAATCCAACAGTATATTAAGGAGTTAAATCGAGCACAAATGTAAACACACATGCAAAGTATACCATCAATATCATGTATTATAGTAAAACACTGACAGGGAACATTTGACTACTGATTGCACCGTATTGCTTTATTTGAGTAAGGGTTTGAGTGCACAACTTCACTTGTAGTGTAGTGTTTGTACTTGAGTAAAGGATCTGATTATTCCACCTTTGTATCAATCAATGAGAGCATGAAATGGTGTGAATACTTCATGTTTTGCCTTTTAGATCTCCAGTGGTGTCTCGCATTTTTTTATGATCAGCAAAAGGTGCAAGGTGCAGAAATACTCCTCATGAAGTACTGAGAAGGGCCAATGCATGATGGGATACTACAACACATGCCCACCTTGCAGTTTTTCCACCAGTACTTGTTCTTGAGTTTGGCGGCGCTGCTCTCGAACTGCGAGGCTCCGGCCTGCAGTGCGTCGGCCCGGTCGTCCAGCTCCGACAGCTTCTGGTCCCTCTCCAGGACTTTGTCCACGTTCACACGCATGATGTCCACCACCTGAAGGACAACAACACCTGTCAGCATCACAGCCTCCCTCCTGGGATCAATCTGGTGTTATAACTTCATTCATTGGTCTTTTTGAAAGCCTTTTGATTTGATTTTGTGCTAAAGTATTCCAAAAAAGCCTCAAGTTAACCATTTGTTTCCATTGAGATTATTCCATACAAATGTGACTCCTCGTCTTTGAGCGGTTTCCTCACCTCGTCCACTTGTGCCTGTGTCTGCTGCAGTCGTCTGTTGCTGGTGAGGTTGGGGGCCGGAGCCGCGGGGCCCCCCTCACCGTCTGCACCGGCACCTTCTGGAGTCGTCCTGCAGAGCGAGAGGTGAGACAGAGGAACGAGTGCAACTCATCACAGAAACCTTTCAGTAACAGTAAAAGTCATTCTTCACCTGAATGGCCTGAAACATTATCAATTATTATGCAGAGTATTTTCTAAACCAATAGTTTGGTATGCTAAAATGACAGATTTTTGAATTGTTGATGTCTTTAAATGTCTTGTTTTGTCAGTCCCAAACCTAAATATATTTCCTTTAATATGATGTAAAACTAAGAAAAGCAGGGATTTCCAATATTTTAAGGGCTACAAACAACATTTTCGGCCATTTTGTATGAAAAATGACTTGAACCATCAATTGATTATCAAAAAAGTTCCTATTATTTCCATTCAATCGACATAATGTTGGACCACTATAATGAATCTTCATCACTTTTAGTCTTTTAATTTAGAGATGTTTTATTTAGTGTTATACTGCCAAAAGGGACAATTACAGGACATATTAAGTTATAAAACGTAGTGTAAAAATAGTTTAATCATAGCAGTCCCCATATAAGCTGTCGGACCGGTTCAGGCTTTGGCAGAAAAAGTGTATTGAAATGTCTAAAATAATTTTTTTTTTTGAATGTTTATAAGTTAAACGTTGTGTTATTGTGGAGGAGGATGAGATATTTCGTATTACGAAAGTTATAGGTTTGCTTTTCATGGCTGCAGAGATGTGGCAGCAAACAAAAAATCACAACTTTGAAACTCAGCCACAAATGTATTAACATCAACAGATAACATCTGATGTTTGAGTCTGTGATGTGTTTACAGAAACCAAAGAGAGGGTAGATCTCAGAAAATGGCAACATCTCTGCACCAAGACAGTTTTGATGACAGTTCTATTCATCTGTGTGAGGTAATAAAAGAATAAAAGCCAGATTATAAAAACAGATTAATGCCTTGATGCATACAATATTTGAATCCATTTATATGTTTAATAAATATTCTGAAATGGGTAGATATGCTCAATGGGTATACTGCTGGGTTTCTACAAGTAAAATATTGAAGGAAGGACTTTTTACTTGTATTTTCAAAAGATATTGCTGTGTTTGTTTTTTAAAGTTAAGTAGACGATTTGAGTTCATACTCCACTGTCTTTCTTTTTTAACCAGTCAGCCCCTTATAAGGCAACAGAACTGTCCTTAGACAATTCATTTGAAAACATGAATTCAAAATAGTAAACATGACTCATCAAACTTTAGCATCCCAGCATATCATTAAAGTATACGAGAGTGTAAGAAAGAATACAATCCGAAAAATATTTAAAGCTGTTTTAGACACACATGCACACAGCAGGTGGTGACACACATAGCAGGTCCCTCTCTCTGCTCTCCTCTCAGGAGCAAAATGGAGAAAGATTAGTGCACGCAATAATACCTCCCCCTCCTCCCCCACAACACTGAACAAATACAATAAAACAATCTTTATCATATGTTTTGCTTTTTCGAAAAACAACTAATGGTCATTTTAAGCGACACATTTCATTCAGTTCTTGTTTATGCTCAGCTGAATATTGGTTTGACGGTGTGAAGAGTGAAACGCACTTTCGCAGTAATGATAGTTTTGCAGGTGAATCATTGTGATACTTTGTCTCCTCCCAGTCTTTCCACAGTACCGAGTTTTATTAAAGCAACAAACGATATTAAACCAAAGGTCAACATCTCGGAAACACACATTAAAATGAAAGAAAAGTTGTTTAACTGCATTGAGCGGAATGTAACAAAATGCTTTCAGCCGTCTGACCACTTCGTAATGTGAAAAAGTAAACAGATATTTCGCATATTATATACAAACGAAATGAAATATGTTACTCACATCTCAGCGGCAGGATGATGGAGATAATCTGAGTCCGAGAGAGAGGGGTGAGGAGGGGGAGGGAGATAAAGAGAGAGATCGAGAGAGATCGAGAGAGAGAGAGACAAATTGAATGTAAATGAAGGTTGAGTCCAGTATTCTCTTGTCACGATATTCTAATTCCCTTTTTCTTTCAAAAATAAAAATACTAGTAGAATTAAAGAAGCTGCACAAATAAAAACTCTGTGTCAAACGTAGCCATTACTATCTCCGGCATTCACTCAAAAAAAAAAACAAATTTCAAGTCGATAAGACGAAATGCTAAGGACAGTAGTCTAATAAAATTTATGCTAACCAAATCTTTGAACAACAAAGAAACTAACACGTTTGTAATTAAATAATTGAAATATATTTTTCGTTACATTAAAACCAGTGTTAACATTTAATTAACTTATTATATACATAAAAAACTAGTTCAAATAGAAATAACAGAAGTAACATTCAAAGGTGTACCGGATTTTTTGTTGTAGTTCGATTTAGATTTCAACATACCGCATTCTTTCTCGCAACCTTCTTTAACGGACGTTCCGCTATGTCATTCATCGAGGCTTATCCAGCATGATTAGCAAAGTAATACTATCCTAATTAGTAATACTATCCAGCCAACAACGTCGGGACTACATCAATAGGGTACATATTTATTTTGCACAATAAAGTCGCATTGGGACGCTTTAAACCTAAAATAAACCACCATCTGGAGCCCCGCCGACCCGAGTAAAGTTTTTCATCGAAGTGGTCGGGTTTTTTCAGCACCGCGTGGGGACAATTATTGTATACGAGGGAAAAAAACGTATAACAAGCTGTATACATCATCCAATGTTAAAAAAAGACCTACGTAAAGTACTTGTTTTAAGTCACCACATAAAAATGTCACGTGTACCCGGTGCACGCGTTGGAAACCGGGATTAAACTGTACCGTCTGCTTTTGTATAACTAAACCAGTCACAAAGAGGCTGACACCACCACCACACAAGACCAGCACCGCG